CCCCCCCCCCCCCCCCCCCCCCCCCCCCCCAATTCCTTTAGAGTTTAGAAGTTCTTTTCCTAGACAGACTAAGGTTGGGTGTGTGGGAAAAATTATTGTTTGGTCACTAAGAGAATGAGAGTACTTCAAAAAATTAGTGGAGAAATGAAATTAAAAGATAATACAAATCTTTTCATGAACTTTTTGAAGACTCCTGTTGACACAACTGTAGTTCACCTCAAAGTTAGAAGATTTATATTAAAATCTATATAAAGGTCTAGTTGGTTGGCTTCCCTGATCTGTCCAAACCACACGCAAAAGTAAACTTTTATTCCCAGATTTAAGTCTCTTCCAGTACTTTGCAAAAATTGCTCACATTTTGTCAAGTGGTTGGCTACAGCCTACACTTTGGAAAAAAGGCACTCTTAGAAATAGTGTGATGTCATAATTCTTCAGTATAAGAGCATGAATAAACAGTTGGTAGCAAGTTTAGAGGTAAGAGGTGGTAATATGTGTAGTAAACTTAAGGCCCGGTAATGGTGGTGATGTAGGGTGTGTGAGATTTGTATGTTGTCTGGTCTTGCACCCAGCTTAATGTTCTACCTTCCTTATGATTTTAATTAGAAGTTTGTGCAAATGAGTCTTTACCTAAAGAATCCAGAAACAAAGTAACACTACTGTATGGACCAGATGTTTTTAATTTCTGTGGAATTACCGAGATTACAGTCAGCAAGCAGTTTAAGAAAATGTTTTGACCTAGCAAATACTCTGATAGGATATTAACTATTCTTGTAGAAGCAATGTGTTTGCAACATGGGCACATTACTTTAGTCTTACTCTCTGTAGAGATAAATAGCATCCAGATACTATCCCATCGAACTGCCTTTCAGTTTCTGTGGTTTTTCCCTTCTGCTTAATCTTGGAATGGTTCTTTGTATTCCTGATTTTAGCCCCCTAACTCTAAATTCTAATTTTCAAAACTGAAACATCTCTGGATCTATTTCCTTCTAAAGAATTGTAGCTGTCACATCAAATTTTTTTTAACAAAGAATTAAATTAATGTCAAGTGGGAGGAAATAGTTTGAATTGTTTTGTATCACTCAGAGCCTAGTTAGGCATGAGTCTCTTGAAACCAGGTTGAAATATTTTCTTGGTTTTAAATAAAAATGCTTTAATGTATGGATATTGTCTGGAACTAAAAGGTGACATTTTCAAACTGAAATTACCAGTGATTTTACAAGGTAAGTACAGTACTGCTGGTTTTGTCAAAAGACTGAAGGTGGTGGGAGGTGTAAATGGAATTCATTTCGTACAGCTTTTTCCCCCTTCTTTCTCTCCAAACAGAAACCCCAGACCTAAATGATAAAACATTAATGCTTTTATAGTTCATATTTTGCCCAAGACGAGGACAGCTGCAATGGTGTATATCTTTTGAGCTTTAGCATTGTTTTGTTATGTTGGTCAGTGTTTATGCATAATTGTGTTATTTTCTTAAAAGGTATGGTCATATTAGGAATTTGAAGTGTTTTTACACAAGTTAGTATTTTGGAGCGTGGGTCACATAGAATTAGATATTGTCATCACTTGGTATTGTTTCTAAGGTGCAAGCCAAAAAATTGTTCACTAGCAAATGATAGTCTTCGAATTCCTCAAAATCTTTGCTTTGAATTGGGTTTTGGAGGTTATTTTCAGTTAACTTTTATCAGCAAAGACTGTCATGTATGACAGCTTGGATCAGGCCCCCTTTTTTTGCATTGATTTTTGTGCTTAGATATTAGATTAAAACATTTGAAAAAGCAGTGAATGTTTTATAAAGGTAAATATAAGTGTCTGTGCTGTTTTTGCAAGAGATTTCTTAAAAGCACAGGCTTACAACTGATGTAGGCATGTCAGATGGTTTTTTCAGAAACACTTCTCTGTCTTTTAGGATTTTTCTATCCAGTGATCCTTCTGGTAGACAGTTTAGCTGCAAAAAAATAAAATCAAATAATCCATATTATATTGATAAGAACATTCACCTATCAACTTAATCGGTTTGTGCATGTTTAATGTTAAATGAATTTCAGTTTGTAGCCCCTAGAAGCATTTTTACTAAAATTGTGTTGGTGACAAGTTTATTTCTCAGTAGGGTCTCTTAACCAAATGTGATAATAACAGCCCAATAGTTGGTCTTCTGGTTTTATAAAGTGGCCACTTGAACTTTAGCAGCTGAGTTGAAATAAACCTAATATTTATATTATCTAGTAGTGGTTTTGTTCTTAGCATACAAGAAAAGGAAGACAGCTGGGAAAGAGTAATGAAATATCATCAGGAAGGCATTCATGTCAAAAAGTTGTGATATGTAGAGTTTTGGCCTCTGTTCAGTATCTTCTACGTCTAAGCCCTGTAACTGTACATAACCTTTAGGAGGCCCTAAGGAAACCTGCTTGGGCATTCTGATTCCACGATTACATTTGCGTTGCCAGCAAACAATTCCCATTACATTTTAGTGATGGATGTTAAAAGAAAATCAATTACTGAGACTCCCTTAAATAAAGGCTATTTAAGGTTTTTTTTCCTAGATTAAGTGAATTAAACAATAATTGACTTTGAAACTAGACTGGAAATTGTTTTTACTTTGTTAGAAAAGATGTCACAATATTTTGCAGGATAGCCATAGTTGTCTTCATTCCCAGATATAGATATAAAAGACTTTTCTCTATAGTTTTATTAAGGAAAGAAAGCTTTAATTTTTTCAGAAGGAAAACATAACTAGGAGAGGAAATGATTGACAGTAAAATGAAAGAGCATAAGGTGAAATGCAGGATGATGAAGACTAGAATATTTTATGACAGTATTTTGTTTAGAGTGTTCATCAGATCCTTATGTAGAATATGTTGTGAAGGCAAGTATTTCATTTAGATCGTTCAGCAGACACTTTTATACTTTACTGATCTACTAAATTGGGTCTTTCTAATATTTGAGGTGAGCTTATAATTTTCTTCTAGTATTGCCACCTTTTAAAGTAGGATTTCTCCTTTGGATACCAAGAAGACTAATATTTTGTACATTGAGGGGAAAAATTTAACAACAAAAATCTTTTGAAATATTACTGTTAGATTCAGATTTGTTCTGTTTTCCCTTCATAGCATATATTAGTTGGTTGGCTTGATTTTGTCTTTTTTATGATTTTGGTTCTAAATTTATTGATGGGATCATTCATACTATAAAATTTCACTAGAGCAGGTTTCCCAGGGGTGGGTTGAACACTTCATTTCCAAATTGTCAGGATTCCTGACATTGTCTTTCTACAGAGCTCAAGATGCAGTTACAATAATGTGTGACATTGAATATGTTTCTTTATCCTATCTAGACAAGTCACAATATTGTAAACCTTTTCATCCCTGAGCCTTTGTCATCATTGTACAGATGAATTGTCCGTGCTTTCCTTTCTTGCACTTTTGTATTGTGTCACTTTTTGACTAAAGATGTGCTTTTGACACTTAACATTTTCTAGTGAATACCATAAGTAAGAAGTGTGAAATGTAATTGTAGTTCTTAAAATGTTAAATGAACAGTAAATGTTCAGTGGCGCACTTCATGTATAACTTAAGTGTGATAAATCTATTTGGAGTAGACAAATGAAATTGATTACCATATATAATCTAGAACCAACAGAAAACTATGTAGTTTCAGTTTTTTGAGCTGCATATTCTAGGGTTTTTTTGTTGTTTTTTTAAATCCAAAACAACAAAAGGGATTTTTTTTCTAGTTTCAGTTTTGGCACTGGATTTTATCCTGGAGTTTTAAAATATTCTTCATCCTGTTCTTTTTCTATTAAGGTTAATGTTGAAGAAGGAAAATGCGGAAGTCGTCATTTGACAAGTTTTATAAATGAGTATTTGAAGCTCAGGAATAAGTGAAGCTGAAATTTGAAAAAATAAAAGAAAGAATGCATGCTAAGTATCAGACCAGAAGTCCCACTTGTAGAATATTGAGCAATTTGTGTGAAGTGGGGAAGATGAAAGAAGTCAGAATTTGAAACGGAAGAATGAAGAAAAGAAATAAAAATGAAGTTAAGATAAGAAGTAATCTGGAATCAGAAAGCACTACGCTAAGTAATTACTAGTCTGTTTATGTGTCCCTGTATATTTTGCTAAACATGCATGCATTATTTGTTTAATAGAAGAAAATATATACAGGGTAAAGAAGTGCCTTCCAGGGGATACGTTTAAATTAGGTAATTCTAATTTTAACTGCTTAGTCAAATGATTGAAATGCAATTTAAAAAAATAATCCTTTGTAGTCAAATACCAGGCAATAATGAGCACTCCAGCATGGGTAACAGTTGGCTTTATGTTGTCCTCTAGATTTTTCTTCTCTCTAACTGCTGGTCCTGGGTCGTAAGTGAATACCTCTAGAGTTGGAACTGGTGGTACATGCCACCCCTCTGGACTCTTAAAGTTCACTGACCCCTCTCCTTCAGTAATGAACAGTGTATAGTGGAATGTTTTCTGTTTGTCAGTTTTTCAGAAGAACATCACCAGGATGGTTATAGAACCAAACACCCAAAATCCAAGCAAAGCATTGAACAGGATAGTTCTTTGGACATGAAAGCATTAGTTTTCTTATGACCGTTTAGGCCCTGACTTTAAGATGCAAATGTGCTAAATACAAAAGGATGATTGTCTAAATTCTGTTTTATGCCTGTTTCAGCGGAATGACTAGCGTTACTGATAAAATATAGCAGCTTCCCTTAGAAGAGGTGGATCACACAAGTGAACAGGATAACTCAAAGTGCAATAATAGCAGGTGCTTTATTCCTTTTTCTGCTGTCAGCATTTAGCTATTATAATGGTGGTGTTAGAGGTACAGGTATAAGTAGCTTTATTCAGGTTCCCTGTCCCTATCACTTACTGAGAAAATCAACCAAAAGTTTCTCTTCTCCTTTTCTTTGTGTTTTGTTTTAGTTGAGTAGATGAGTCAGATTATTACTGGTTGTTACCCTCAGTTGGATGGGATAACTACACATATCAGAATAATGCCTGGTAGTAGCCAACCAACAGTTGTCTTTTACCCAGGTGAGAATGCCAAGGGTATCCTCTCACATACTTCTTTCTGAAATGATGACAACTTAAATAACTTTCTCTGAGTGTTGTTGGTCTTTGAAAGTTCTTGGAGAAAGTGACTTAAATGACATTTCTTGAAGGATCCATTTTCTGATGCTTATTTTAGGCCTGTTGTCACAGTATGAAACTTGTGCATTTTACATTTAATATTTCTCTTTTTTTCAAAGCAGAAGAAAATTGTCCATTTGTAGGGGATAGTTTTTGCATTTGCTTTGCTCCATTTCTGTAAAATTTGCCACACATAAACTAATGACAAAAATGTTGCTTTTGCATTCTGAATTACTAGAGCAGGCAAATAGCTGGAGTAAAAGTGGTATGAATGGATATTATCTTTTCATTTTAACCCATGGACTCTTATCAAGAAACCTGAAAAGTCCTTGGGGGTCCAAAAAGAGAGAGAGCCCTGGTAGAGACACCTAAGGGAAAGAAAGCAGTTTGTAATCTGATTATATGGCCCAAGCTAATTTAAGGTGAAATTAATGGCGCTTATAGATGATCTCATTCATTCATTTTTGTCTTCCCCTTTGGCCAAAGCATCTTTAGGTTTTAGGGTATCTTTTCTCCAGGCCATTGGGGATGTAAGAGGGAAACAGGCCTCTGGTCTAGGGGCAGGCAGAGCAGGGAAGACAGTGACAGAAACAAGATTCCAGGAAGATGCTTTTGCCAAGGGAAAAAAATTAAGTAGGCAGCATTTAACTTCTGAAATTAACTAAACTGGTGAGGCTTAACTAACATCATAAAATGTATAAATGCTTTTTAAGAAATGTAGATGCCCAACTCCAGACCTACTAAAATGGACTCCAGGTTAGGGCCCTGTATTTTGAATGCTATAGAGGTTTAGTGCATGCCTCTTTATGAGCCACTGTTCTAAATCTAACATGCTGCATCTGGTTTTTAAAATAATACAGGGATTGGATGGTTATTCCTACTTCTGTCTCTTTCAATTAAGTTTTTCTAAGATTATTGCTGTTCTCAGAATAGGGTGGTGTAGATTAAGATAATTGTTAGAAGGTTTTTTTTTAACCTGATGTGTTCCCTACAGGTTGTATATTAGTATACAGGTAAGATCAATGAGCATTTTCCAGGGAATTTTTTGTTTTATTTTATTCATGATCCTTTTCCTTGAGGCATTGGTGTCAAGAGTAGTTCTTTTGATAGGGTTTTAGTGTGTTGACACACATAGCTTTGTTTGCCCTGAGAGTGGAATTTTACATATCCTGATGTGTAGGGGCTTTCCCAACTGATTTTTTTAGATTTGCCTGTGTATGAAGGTTTAAAGTTAACATTATACTTTGGATTTGGCTAATTTTAGCTCTCTGTTCTTCTAGACAAGTGAAATTCCCTTGCATATATTTTCCCAACCAGCTAAATGACCAGTATAATAGCAAGGGGTGTAAGTTCTTTAAGAAAATGTCCCTGACAAGAAGGTAGAGGCATTGTTTAGGTGTTAGCCCAACCAGATGTCAGCGTAGAAGGGGAAGTCTTTGTGTTCTGGTTTTTCCTTTATTCCTGGTCTAAGAAATTGTTGCTCACAAAATAAATTGCATAGCCCCTTAGTTTTAGAGGCTGTGTGAAAATTCTTATAACGTCATATTGTTTCTTTGACTCTTGATCTGCTAGAATTTTATGAGGAAACCTCATTAAGGCTTATTTCCTGGCTAGGAATACTTTCTCTCTTCCCTCTTTGACTGGTAAAGGATCTTGGCTTGGAGTGAGGCTTTTCTGTTAAATGAAGCAAGAGGCTTGAAGTCTCAAGGTTTGAATCTTGACTTTGTACCCACTGTTCCTTTATACTCAGATTCCTAGGCTGACTGATTTCTATTAACTAGTTACTTTATTGATAATCTTTTAACTACTGTGCTCTCCCTTTCTGAACAAATTGAAGTAATCTTTCTAGCACTGGAATCAACAAAGGCATCCCCATTCTACTCTTGTAGATTAGCTTTTGCCTGTGGTAAAAGTGGCAGAAACTACAGCCTCATTTTTGAGACCTTCATCCAAGGCAGGAGAGAGGGGAGAAATGTTTCTGTTTAGAACATTTGATTGAGAAATTCAAGAGACTGTTAGTTGGGGTTCCTCAGAACATCTTTTAACCATTTTTTTTCCATTTGGTGTTTAAAGCAGCTCTTCTTAGTAATAAAGAGTACCATCTTTTTCTTTTATCTCTTTCCAGTCACTTATGGGGGAGCGGATTGGATAGAGGAGAAAGGCTGTCACATTATATGTCACTTCACACCGTCTTTTACTGTAATGATTTTGAAGTCTTAGTTGATGAGTTTCTGGAGTTGTGTAGGGCCTAGAGATATGAACTCATTTTATTGGCTGTTAGTCTTTCCTTCCCTATTTTCAACTTCAAACTTTAATTTTTCTCTAATTTGTCTCTTCTGTGTTGTATGTAGAATTTTCCCATGAGCGTTGTAGGAAAGATCTTCCAAACTTTCCCCATTATGCTGTAAACCACAGAACTATATTCTAAAACGTTTTGGCCTATAAATTAAAATAACTCTATATCTTGTATTCTTTTAAGAATGGCCAGAATATTCTGAAGATCTGCCACACAGGGATATCTCTTGTGATAACTTTATCTAGAAGCTTCAACTTTGATTTATACCCTACAGTGACTTAACTGTAATATTGCTTCTTTTTGAGTCTGGCCTTGTCTGCTGTATTTTTGGTAGAAAGACTCTGGACTATACCTTTTATTTTGCCTAAGTTAGATAACCTAAAATAAAGGTTGTCTTATTTGATTATACTTCATTCACTGTTTTGGTGCTTTGGTGAAATTTTTCCCTGGTTCCATTATTTACTACATATGCCTTTTCTGCTAATTGACTGTATGTCTTTGGCTCATTGATAAATTAGTTATCCTATTTAGACATTCTTTTGCTATTTTCTTTAGAGATCATCTTTTTTGTGCCTCTTACCTGCTAGCTAGTCCCAGGTTTTATTGGGAAAGCTGTGAGTTGAGTACACAGTCCTTAGTAGTTTTTGTGTGCTGTTCCTGAACTCCTTCCCTTTCTGGCCCTAGATTAGGAGCCCCTGATTGAATCTGTCCTGGTTTTAATGGGTTCTAATTTAATTATTCCTAGTTTCCCATAAATTTGCCCTCGCCTATCTCCATTTAGCTGAAGAAGCTCTGAATCTCTGGCACCCTCTCTGCTCTTACCTCTGCGTAGTTCACTGACTTTCTGCTATAGTTCCATCTGGTTGCTTTCAGTTTCATAAGAGTCTCCCACCATGGTTAGATGCGATAGGGTCTTACAGAGCTTAGTGTCCTCAAGTTGGTCCTTGCTTCCCACTAGGTTTCTACCTTTCTCTAGGACTTGAAACTGAGATCATTGTCCTTGTCTCTTTTCCCACCCAATAAATACAACATGGAGATTTGAGGTCTTGGGGGGGGGGGAAGCATTTTAAAAGTAAGTTTTATAAATTTTATAGGGTTTTGTTTTATTGACTGGAACTCAATTGAAATAGGTATAAAGTATAGGTGTCATAGTTAATAAGGTTCTTCCTCACCCTAGTCTTTATGGAATAATATTCCCAATACATAATTCTTGGACAGTTCCCTTAACTGCCTGGCTTCAGCACCTCTTTCTGAAAGGAATGGAGTTAGATAATTCCTATCTCTGCTCCAAAAAGGTGAAAGAAAACAAATTAATTATGTCAGTTGGAGCATTGAAACTATTATACCAGGTATACTCAGTTTCTGCCCTTACCTATGTTTTCTTATCTTGAAAGGGGATTGCTCTCCCTCACCATTTATCTCACAGCAGCTTATTTGTTTTTAAAGTTGCCCAGAAAGTATACAAATTAAACTTTTGACATCTACGTGTAGGAATCCCGTTCTGCTTCCAGAAGTGGAAGTGCTCACGGATCGGGGAAATCTGCAAGGCATACCCCTGCAAGGTCTCGCTCCAAGGAAGATTCCAGGCGTTCCAGATCAAAGTCCAGGTCCAGATCTGAATCTAGGTAAGAAAGAATGTCTTGAGATTTTCTTCTGTTACTCTTAGCTCTGACATTGGTGTATTTTGTAAACCAGGAAGGTAGAGAGGGTTAGATCATTTGTTGGCTTATTTAGTTTTGGTACTAGAAATGAACTTAAGTTGTGGAAGACAGAAGACTAAGTGGTTAAGAGCCTGGGCTTTTGGAGTCAGGGTTCAAGTCTCACCTCTATTTTTGCTGGTTTGGGCAGATTACTTTAACCTTTTCAGCTTTAGCTTCCTTATCTATAAAAGGCAAGTTAGTACCAGTTATTCAGAGTTGTTGTGAGAATTCGTTAAGAGTTAAGTAAATTGTTTGTTAGTGTGGCAAATAACACTACAGAACATTGGCTATCGGTAACTGGAATTGTTGATAAGCAGGTGTAGTCTAGTGTATTAATATACGTGTGTATGAAATAAGTAATACCTTACTACAGCGTACTTCTTTTGTTGTTAGTGTTGGTTAACAGTAAACTATATGTTCTGGGTTTCTGGGACAATCCCAGTTTATGCCTGTTGTCAGGCACATTTAATAGTACCCCTTTTCTCAAGTGTGTCCTGGTTTAGATGGCAACTTATATGGTAACTCTAGTCAAGAGACACTCACTTTTTTAAAAACTGCTGGGGAAAACTTCTTGTGATGGTGATTTTGATATCTTGTTAAATGAATGGTGGGCATAATGAGAGATACCGAAAAATAGAGGAGGGTATTCTGAGGGGAAAAGTTGGGCACAAACAGAGCTAGTAAAATGCTGCATGCTTTATGATTTTCAAAGATAAGCATGTTAATTTTTAATCTCCCTTTATGTTAATTGGAAGAAATGTTGGAGGAGAGCTTATGGTTTTGAAACACTTCCTAGCAAAGTTGAGACGATTTATAGATAGAGAAAAAAGGTATTGATCCCACTTACTTGATAACTGTTAGCATATGTCTGGACTGTATTCACTCTTTTGGAATTTAACTGGAATAGAGCAATAAAAGCAATGCCATATCTATTGTCAGTTGTTTAGTTGTAACCTTGAAGCCTTTGTCTTGCAGGTCTAGATCCAGAAGAAGCTCTCGAAGGCATTATACAAGGTCAAGGTCAAGGTCCCGCTCCCATAGACGATCCCGTAGCAGGTCCTACAGTCGAGACTATCGCAGAAGGCACAGCCACAGTCATTCTCCCATGTCTACTCGCAGGCGTCATGTTGGGAATCGGGTAAGATGGGAAAAAAAAATGGTTTTCAAAGAAATGGACTGTCTAAATTTACTTTTCTGTGTGTGTGTCAACTGATTTTATTTGCCAGTGGAGCTTTAGCAGTGAATACATGCGTGAAATCTTTAGGGGCTTTTTAATGTTTTGAGATAGTCTCTTTTTGTAAGTTAGTCTTCTATGTGTAATGGTCTACATTTGGCCTGTCAGTCACTTAAGCATAATATTGATACACTGGTGTAACTCAGCCCGTCAATCTTTAAAACTCCATTGTGCATTATTGTTATATTAGTACAGCGTATAGTTCCACACTATAAATGTTTTTCATGGTTTCTGGTTTTGTTTCATTAGCTTTTTGCAAGATGTTCTCCTAACTTTCCCTTTTAACATCAAGCTAATTGGGGTATTAAGGTTTTTCTTATATTCTGTGAGAGATTCCAGATGATACGGTATTTTGTTTATAGTATGATTTCATTGTATAAATCCAAGTGGTTTTATGGAGGACAGGAGGTTTGTGTCTTTAGAATGGGGTAGAATTTCTTCTTTGTAAATTGTTAGTGTATGAAAAAATGGAACTTCTAGGTAAATTCATTATGGCAAGTGGAATGTCAGTGACATTCTAAATGTTCAGGTTTTTTTGTCGGGGGGACAGTTTAGTAATGAGCGCAAGCTGTTCGGTACTTGTTAAAACGGTTTGGTACACATCCTTTTGGGCCTTTTTTTTTTTTTAAATAGCTAACTGGCACAGGGATCTGAACCCACAACCTTGGTATTATAAGGCTGCTCTAACCAGCTGAACTAACCAGACAGTTCTGTTGGGGCTTCATTTATGTGCATATAAGAACAGTTTTTGTATACTATTACATTTTTTGAAAGTAGAATTAAACTATGCATGGTCTTCTATATCTTTCTGGCCATTCAAAGCATTCCATTGTATAGATGGTGCATCTTCCAAATTTAAAAAGAAAGTTTTTTCCTGTCTAATAGAGTGCTACTCTGATATTCTGTGTGCCTATTATGAATGTGCAAATTTTTCTCAGAATAAACTCCTAGACAGTGAATCTTTCATCCAAATTGCCCTCCAAACTCCAAAAAAATAAGATGCCAAGTTTGCTTTTCACTGGTATGAACCCGTTTTCCCAACTTAATTTTTTTAAGGTTGAAATTATTCCTTTTGGGCCGGGCCTGTGACACACTGCTACAGTGTGCCGCTTGTGAGCGCAGTGGCGCTCCCGCCGAGGGTTCGGATCCCACGTACAGACCGGCTGCTCACTGGCTGAGCGAGGTGCGGGCGCAACACCGAGTGTTGCGATCCCATTGCCGGTCACGAAAAAAGACAAAAAGGAAAAAAAAAGGAATTATTCCTTTTGCAGTCTTTTCTGACAATTATCAAAAATGCTTGTAGTGCTTGCTGTAATGTTTTGTAATTTATAAATGATGTTTGGTGTGACTGTTATGTACTTGTATTGTTAGTAACATTTTTGCCTACTGTGTTTCTCTTTTAAAACAATTTTTTATAAATGACAAGTTTTCAAAGTTTAAACTTCATTTCTCTCTTTCTAGGCAAATCCTGATCCCAACTGTTGTCTTGGAGTATTTGGGTTGAGCTTGTATACCACAGAAAGAGATCTGAGAGAAGTATTCTCTAAATATGGCCCCATTGCTGATGTGTCAATCGTATATGACCAGCAGTCCAGGCGTTCAAGAGGATTTGCCTTTGTATATTTTGAAAATGTAGATGATGCCAAGGAAGTAAGTAAAAGCCTACCTGTACCTTTGTAAAACACCAGTCCTGTTGTTAGCTCCAAGTTACTAGTGACCAAGTGCTTTGCATAAGGCCAATTTTTGTTTTTGTATGGATAGGATATGTAGCTGTAGTTTGAGCTAATGGAAATGCATTCTTGGAACAGATACTAAAGTCAGTTATACTTTGGATTTTTATTATGCAGAATAACAGAAAAAGTATGACTTAGGTCAGGTGGTCCTATCACCCTGCTTCAGTAGTTATCAACTGCAGCCAGTTATGCCCCAATTCAGTCCTCTTTATCACCTTATTTTGAAGTAAAGCTCAGCATGTCAGTTGTTTCAAGGATACTTCAAAAGTTTACGAAATGATTCATACTATCTTTCAATTCTACTTTTCTGTGAACTTTTTGAAGTATATACACTAAAACATATAAGAATATTAGTAATTCTGTCATTTATAATACTGTAATACCTAATTAATGCTTTCATTGAGCTATTTCTAGTATGGGAAGTAACCAGAAGTGATAAAGTTATGACTCAGAAGGAAAAAAAGAACTGGTTTGGAGTGTATATTTGCAAATGAGTGATTTCATATTTGGATTTTAAATTTGATTTGAGCCCAGAATATATAGAAAGTAAAAATTTCTTATGTGAATCTGGGCCCTGTTTAAGAAATTCAGACTTTATGTGCATAAGGTTGGTAACTGAAGTTTTCTGCAAGGGTCAGAGGGAAGTATGTGGAAGAGAAAAGCTTGGAGAATGACAAGCTCTCTGATGGTCAATGTTGAGATTAGAAATTAAGCTCTAGGTAATATTTTATATAATTATTTGTGAAAATTATACTAAACTTTGAAAACCATAAACTAATTTTAAAGGGGGTAGTTTGAATCACTAAAAGAAGAATTAAAAGATGAATGCAGCTAATTACAGTTAAGCATTGCTTAATAGGGATACAATCTGAGAAATGCATTGTTATGCAGTTTTGTTATAGGAACCTCAAAGAGTGTACTTACACAAACGTATATGGTATCACCTCTTTCTCTGACCATTGTCATGCATGTGGTTTGTTGTTGACGGAAACATTGTTATTCAGTGCATGACAGTATCATGGATGACATTGTAGAATATTAAGGGATTTGAAGGGACCAATAAATTGTGAACACATTTCGAAGTCTTTAGAATGGGGTATTTTTGTTTTTAAGTTCATGCCTTTCAGTTAGTGTATACTCTAATCTTTCTTCACAGCTTTTGGCTCCCAGAGCACAGCCTGGCAAACTTTTCAAAGATTTAATAGTAAATGTATTAGACTTTTTGAGTTATAGGTTTTTGATCACAACTATTCAACACTGCCATTTTAACCCAAAAGCAGCTTTATGTAAATGACTGGGTGGGGCTGTGTTTCTGTAAAACATTTATTTATTTATGGACATTGAAACTAATTGCTTGTAATTTTCACTTATAAAATGCTGTTTTTGATTTCTTTTCTAGCCATTTAAATTCTTAACTTGTGGGTCATACAAAGACAGGCATCTGGCCAGATTTGGCCCACAGGCTACAATTTGCCAACTTTGTACTATTTTATGGGTTAGATTGGCTTTTGTAGTATTTTGGATAAGCTTCTAAGTTTTTATGACTAGCTTTTGCAAATGGTTATTTAGTGATGGAAACAACTCATTTGTAAGTTGTAGAACTTACGTTCTGACCAATGTTAAAATAAGTTAGTGCACCTAAGTGAAACCTCAGTCGGACCTTATTTGTAGCAATAAGATAATTAGTGGCTTTGTCCAGAATGTATATAACAATTTATTTCTTTTCTGAAGGCTAAAGAGCGTGCCAATGGAATGGAGCTTGACGGGCGTAGGATCAGAGTCGATTTTTCTATAACAAAAAGACCACATACCCCAACACCAGGAATTTACATGGGAAGACCTACATAGTAAGTTTGTTTTCCTGTTAAAAGTGTGATTGACGGTTCAATTTGTTCACATTCTCCAAGAAACACTTGTATGTGGGGAAAGTCTTCGGCACTTCATCTAATCTTGCCACAGTGTAAATCATTTTTCCTGTCTTTTTTTGATTGGCTAAAACTGTATTATTCAGTAGAGTATGTGCAGAGAAAACATTCTGTTTGTGCCATAAATTATGGCTTTGCTGGATAATTAAATGTTCCTAATTAGGGCATTTTTCCCATAATAGGAATTTAACCATTATGGGTAATACTGAGTTTATATGTAAATCTTTAAAAATGCATTTTAAGGATTTTTTTTAAGCAGAGTGAAGAACAGCCTTCAGCCATTGCACTAGACTATGGAAGAATATTTTTCTCTTTTGTCACAGCTCACTAAGTGTGTACATTTGTTGACAAGAAAGTTAAAATTTAAATATAATGCTCTTACATATGTTAGAGAATGGTGATTGCAGAGTGAGATTGTCATGTTCTCTTTAATAAGCTGAACATTTTTCCTTCTCCCAAAACAGCATTCTTCACGTGTGATTTTATTTTACCTTTGGAAAATACGTTGGATTACTGAATTGATAGACTTAGTAGAAATAGAAAGCAAGTCAGTAGGATCTGTGTGACTCCTTAACCAAAAGATTTATTTATTTTTTAAGTTTCTGTTTTCAAAAGATTTTTTCTGTATATTGTAACAAGGGAAAAGGCAATGTTTCTCCAATATTGGTGAGAATACCAGTAGAAACATTCTAATACCTAATATTCACTTTCCAGTTAACATTATCAGAAAAGGTCTGCAAGTAGATATCTCAGTTGTAGTTCAGGAGAGAAATAAATTACACTCAAAGCAGTTGCCCATTCATGTCCATAAAGCTTGGCAAGTGGGGGGTGGTATATTACCCTCAAGACCCAAATGAGCTGTATTACGTAGTGTTGATCTGTTGCTGCTAAATAGCTGAGCCAGTTTTTAATAGCAAAATCATGCCCAGGAAGATAAAAAAGACTACTTGATATATTAAAAATATATATTATTGTTTGTAGTGGCAGTTCACGCCGTCGGGATTACTATGACAGAGGATATGATCGTGGCTATGATGATCGGGACTACTATAGCAGATCATACAGGTAAGTTAATCAAATAGAAGGGTCAACTTTTATAAATCTCAGTTATGTAATTTAAAGCAGCACTATAAGTTTTAGCCTTTAATAAAAGCTTTGATTTAGTACTTGTTAAGAAATACAAAGGTGGGTTTAAACCAAATTTTAAGGTTTATATGTGTATGTGTGTTTGGGTTTTGTTGAAAGATCATTTTAGAATATAAATAGAGGAACTTTAACTTGGTATGTTAATGAAGAGATAACATTTTCTTTTTAAACGTTAAGGTAAACCAACAATTCTCTGGTTTTAAAGTGTGCCAGTGGAAACAATTATAGCCTATATCTCTGTTTTAAAAGTAAGGGTTATAGCCGTATTTCACTGGAGGGCAAGGAAAAGTAATTCTTGAGTGAGTCCAGAGAATTAATTAGGGGCATTTGTGAGAAAAATTAGATATTTAGGGAAGGTTGGGTAGGGCGAATGCCCATCATATTCGAAAAGCAAAAGATATCATTGAGAATACTTCCAAAGATTAAGTAAAAGTCTCTTATTTTAGCTGTGGTAGGTAGTTGAGTACCTTCCTTGTTGACCACAGTAATTATCCTTGATACATTGCTGTGGTGTTGAGTTGTGGGTGTTTTTTTTGCACACAGTTTGGTAATGTTGAAGAAGTTGACAGCTGTCAATGTATCTGTGGACATGAGTCTTTGCTCTTGACATTGTACAGCATTTTATCACTCACAGAAGCCCTCTTTAAACATTATTGTATTTAGTGGCACTGAAGGGATTGATTTGTGGAGGCTGTGAAGATTAAGATCTTGGGTTTGTTTTTAATTTATTGTTAATTCACTCAAGTATTTCCTTAGAAACGTTAGGTGTTATAATGATACTCATTTTAGCCACCAGAGAGAGCTCTATGCCAGTTTCTAAAAAGGATAGCAAATGTGGCTCTTCATCACTTTAATTCCAAGAAACTAAGTTTCAGTCATGCCTCTTGGGAGTTTTTATTTTACTACATAAATTATGTATTCTTTCAAAAACTTACTAAATTGAATGTATATTGCTATTCTGTCTTCACAGAGGAGGAGGTGGAGGAGGAGGAGGATGGAGAGCTGCTCAAGACAGGGATCAGATTTACAGGTATGCCAGGAGAGGATTTAAAATCTGGGCAGCAGTAGAAAACCTCACGCAAAGATGCTCACTTACTAATATTTTAGTAGTTTGTGTGTTTGCAAAAGATAGTTCCTGAGTTACATTGGTTCTATTTAAGAGTTTTTGACTTTATGATGATGCAGAGGCGCAGCAGTAGAAAACCTCACGCAAAGATGCTCACTTACTAATATTTTAGTAGTTTGTGTGTTAGCAAAAGATAGTTCCTGAGTTACATTGGTTCTATTTAAGAGTTTTTGACTTTATGATGATGCAGAGGTAATGTGCATGTTTAGTAAAAATCGTACTTCGGGTACCGGTACAACCATGTTCTGTTTTCAATTTTCAGTACAGTATTCAATATATTATAAAACAGGCTTTTTGTTAGATGATTTTGCTCAAATAACTGTAGGCTAATAGAAAATGTTCTGAGCACATTTAAGTAGGCTAGGTATATTAAATGCATTTTCAACTTAAGGTGTTTTCTATCTACTATGGGTTTATTAGTACATAACCCCATTGTAAGTCAAGGAGTGTATCTGTAATAGGTAAATTACTTCAGTGGTACCATTTTGTACCTTAATGAGATATGGTGAGGTAAGAACTCCTTTAGTCATTATTTATTCCTGATTGCTATGTTCTTGTACTCTTATGTTTTGTTAATTTGCTTTTTATAAACATCTCCAAATCAGCAAGAACATGCAAGCCAGTCTTTTTTACACAAAACTACTAAAACCCATTTGAAACACAAGTGAAATGTTTTGGGTGATAGTCCATAAGGGTATGGTTGGAATTAATGGTAAAGTAATTTTCTTTTCTCTAAAATTTAAAAGGTATGCAGATTATTGATGGATCAAAGATAGCAGAGTATTCAACCTCTGATAGCTTATGTGAGGGTGCTTATGGTACTTGGGCCTGATAATGTAGTTCATTCTCGAGATTCAAACAGACCTTGAAACCCCATGACTAATGCAAAATTTTTAAAGGCTCATGAGGGCCTTTTATTTTGGGGAACTGATAAAGGGCTAGTGTGAAATCTTCTTGTGTCATTCAGTCTAATTGTGATCTGTGGAAACTTAGATAACTTGGCATTTGTTTACAGAAGGCGGTCACCTTCTCCTTACTATAGTCGTGGAGGATACAGATCACGTTCCAGATCTAGATCATACTCACCTCGTAAGTTTATCTTGATGTGATTTTGTTTTATACTGTAATTATATGGCATGCTCTGACTTGCCAAACTATTCCTTTTGCAGCTAATGGGTTAATTCAGGTAGGGGGGTCCCCCCCCCACCCCCCCGGTAGTTTTATCTATACCTGTTATGTGCCCACACACCCCAAATGATTGTATGGTTCGAGAAAGTTAATGAAATCAACTCTTGGAATCCTATTCTTGTTATTAAAATAGTAAATTTCATTACCGTTGCTAGCTTTTGTTTTTAGGAGTCCCGCAGATTTTGGACAAACACTTGAGTGATTTAAAACCTTAGCTCTCAGATTGAGTTATACAGCTATTTCTATTATTTGACATTGGTTATCTCATTTCTCCTGTAACATTTCTGTGAAAGTCTTCCTCTGTTTTCACAAGAAGGAATCTGTTACATAGGAATTCTTAATAGGGAATAGTCTAAAATCCTCAGCGTTAGATTACTCTTGATAATCCATTTCCTTAGTATTAAAGCATGTTTGTTTATTTTCTTCCCAGGTCGCTACTAAAGCATGAAGTTGAAGACTTCCAGAAACCTGCCCTAGAGCTGGGATATTGTTTGTGGACAATATTTTTTATTGTCTCCTGTTTAAAAAGTGAACAGTGCCTAGTGAAGTTAGGTGACTTTTACACCTTTTATGATGACTACTTTTGGTGGAGTTGAAATGCTGTTTTCATTCTGCATTTGTGTAGTTTGGTGCTTTGTTCAAAGTTAAGTGTTTTCAGAAAAGTATGTTTTGCATGTATTTTTTTACAGTCTAAATTTTGACTGCTGAGAAGTTTCTATTGTACAAAACTTCATTTAAAAGGTTTTTCTACTGAATCCAGGGTATTCTGAAGATCGAAGCCTGTGTGTAAAATGCTACCAAATGACAAAAAGCAAAATAAACAGTTTGATTTTTACTTTTCTTTCTAACATATCAATGCTTAGCAGAACTGTTCGGATTGTCAGTAGTAAGTTTAAAGACAAAAATGCCCGTTATCCTCCAGTTCATGAAACATACCATACTTACTATACCTGCAACTATAAGTGTTAAAAATTATGCTCTGTAACTCTGTACTGCTAGTATTAGAACTAAAAGTTTTTCAATACAGCAAATGCTTAATGCTTATATAAATGTGGATTTGTCAGCCTTTATGTAATCTGTATTATATTTAGCAGGGAATAAGGAGAGTTACACAGTGTATGCCTTTAAAAGGCTACTTAAAAGCTGTTACAAGGGGATAATGGTATTTCAACTAATTATCAGCAAGTGACAATACATTCCACCACAAATGTACTCTTGTTCTTCTAGCTTTTAGACCATATGAAAAAACTGGGTGCTTCAAAGTACAGGATGAGAAGGGAACACTACACCTGTGTCATGGATGAGCTGAAGACTTTGCCTGTTCATTTTTTAAATATTATTTTCAGGTCCTTTGCTTACCAAAGGAGGCCCAATTTCACTCAAATGTTTTGAGAACTGTTTAAATAAACGCAAATGAAAAGAAAAATTGCTGGTACAACTCAGTTTACAAAGAAGTGTTTATTTTATTTTAACTTTGTTACTTGTAATTAGAGTTCTTCTATAGTTTAGGGACTAATTCAGTCCCTAATGCAGTGTGTTCCTTGGGCTAACGTGTTCTTTTTGCTCTTTAAAGAAAAGAGATATTCCTGGAAAATAAACTGAAACTTCAGCCTTCTCACAAACCCTGAGGGTACCAGAAATGCATGTTCTGTATTAGTGCTTTTGCATTTGGGTGGTGGTTCTTATCAGTTCTCAGGGATATTGCTATAGGTAGGTAATGTCATTGTGTTAGCTGACCTTTATGGTACTTATATGTCATTTAATATATCCCAAGTATTTTGTTAAAATACTTTACATATAAGTGTATTAATTTGTATAATGTTTAGCAATCATATGCTGTAGAATGACTTTACCTTGGGTCAGATAGCTATTAAAGTAGCAATGCCAGGATCTGAAACTAGGCAGTCTGTTAATCATAATGCTCTTCTGACTCATGTGGATAGCTTTGGCAGGTCATGATTTGTAAAACTTCTGAGCAGGATGTTTTAAATGTGTACCTCAAGACTTTTGGTAACTATTAAATGTATATAGAATTCCACCCTCACGTTTGTTTATAGTAGACATGTGGAACTTCCTATGTGCTTGATGGATTATTCCAAATCCATTTTCAACCAGTTTTGGAATAAGGAGCCACTCAAGTATTTGCATTAGTTGAGTTTTAGAATGTGGTCCAGACGGGATTGGGTTTATAGAGGGATAGGTTAAAGGCTGGAAAGTGCCCATGCCCTCCTCCACCCACCCTCACACACAAAATGACCACATACCTAAAATAGGCTAGTCAGTTTGTCCCAGAAACTTGATCTATATCAAATAGAGACTGAGACTCTGGGACAGGAAGTGCTTGGAAGTAAAATAACAGTAATAGTATGTGAGTTCTAACTAATAATTTCTGACATCACTCTGGTGGGTTCCTGTCCCAAAGCCAGCCTAACTTTTAGCTTTTCCATTCTTTAAGCAACCATTATACTGCCAGTAAAAAGGTTCCTTTTTAAAAGTTAGAGTTGAATTTTCTGACTTGGATATGAAAGAATTTTGACTAATTCAGAAATTGCTACCAAGAGTTACAGTTAACAGATTCTGAAGAAAATTTGAAATTTTACCAGGTTGAGACATTCAGGACTAGAGTACTGAGACCTTTTATATTCTGGGTTAGGAAAGTATGAGTAGTAATCTGTTGGCGTGCGATGATGGCAATCATCTGATTTCGTGAAAGGAAAGCTTTGGGGGTCCCCCTGGGTAACTGCTGCCATAGACCAATTTAAATGGACAAAGAATGTCAGAACCACAGGAAAGGATGTTTTTAAATTCTTGATGCAAAGGAACCCAGGGCTTTTTAATGCTGATACTGACTATAGTAGTCCCCCCCATCTGTGGTTTTGCATTCCATGGTTTCAGTTACCTGTGGTCAGCCATGGTCTGAAAGTTAAATGGAGAACTCTAGAAATTGTTTCAAATTGTTTGCTCTTCTGAGTAGTGTGAGATCTCATGCCCTCTTTGTTTGTCATACCTCTACAAAACCTGTACCACTTAACATGGCTTCTGTATCAGTGTTCTCCAGAGAAAGAACCAATAGGATATGGATATGTAATTTATTAAGTCCTAAAATGGAATTAACTTAGTCATAAAGTGTGAACATTTTAAGGCTCTCGAACACATGACTTCATATCACTAAATTATTTTCTAGAACAACTCCACTCATTTACCCTTACACCAGGAAATGTATGAAAATGCCTAAATCCTTAGTCTTAACCACAATTAAGTGTAAACGTAGAATCTTCAAAATTGATAGGTAAAAGCACTTTGCCCAAGTTGGAGAAAATGTGTATTACGAAAGATCATGTTCTTATGTCTTTGGTTGTGCCTTTAAAGTTTGCTTTCTTGGGCCGGCCCGGTGGCGCACTGCTACAGTGCGCCGCTTGGGAGTGCGGCGGTGCTCCCGCCGAGGGTTTGGATCCCACATACAGACCGGTTCCCGCTCACTGGCTGGGCGAGGTGTGGGGGCAATGCCGAGGGTTGCAATCCCGTTGCCGGTCCCGGTCCGGTACGGGCACGACACTGAGGGTTGTGATCCATTGCCGGACACGAAAAAAGACAAAAAGGAAAAAAAAAGTTTGCTTTCTTTCAGTGTATCCCAAGACAAGTGACACACTCTTCTCATTCATTTCTAACTCCCCATTACAAGATGGGATTGATGGAATTATGCTACAGACCTTGGCATTTCACAGGGAAACTAAATTGTTGGTTTGGAATGAAAGGTTATCAGGAGTTCTAAGTTTTCAGCCAACATAAATGTCATCTGTTTTAACTCTAAGTTTTCACCTTTCTGAAGCTACTCAGAATATTCTCCAAGTGCATTTAGTCAGCTGTTGCATGATAACCAGCCATAAAATCACAGGCATAAAACAATAAGCGTTAGTCAGCTCATGAAACTGAGGGGTTCACTAATGTGACCCTGCTCTCAGGCTGTCTCTGCAGGACAGCTGGGGGTTGGCAGATGTAGATTGCAGTGGCAGAGACAGGTCTGCTTCACACTGTAGTTAATGTGGGTTTGCTCCACATGTCAGCCTCCTTGGATGAGTAGGCAAGCCACCACATGGCCCTCATGATGGCAGAAACAACTCAAGACCAACCACCTGAAGTACATTTCAAGCCTCTTGTATTACATCTGTTAACTTCCCACACAGGCAAAAGCAAGTCACATGGTAAAGGCAAAAGTTGGGGTGAGGAAATAACTTTTAGTGGGGGAAGATAGCGAAGTTACACGGCAGAGGGCATAGGTACAGAGAAGGACCAGTAATTCAATTTGCCACCAAATTTTCCATGCTGGTATTGGATGTGTTTTTCCAGTTGCTCAGCTGTCTGGCATGAAGACCACCTACCTTTGTTTAGGACATTCCCTATTGAATGAGCTGCTGGGAGGCAGAGCCTACAATACCACAGATGCTGAAAATATCAGGTACTTGTGAACCCCACCTCCTTTGTAGCTGGACCGTATGTATGTGACCTAGGCTTGGTCACTTGGATGCATCCAAAATTTAAATCAGTAACCAGTGATACCAAGAAGTGTAGGGACAATGGAAATTCTATTTAGGTAGAGTGGATGATAAGGGTGCTTGAGAGATGGCAACATTGAGGGAGAAGGATCTGAGGGATGGTTCTAGTTCTAGTGGCCAGGTACTTTGGTGCCAGTGGCAGCTCTGGGGCAAGCTGTGGTGTCCAGGGTTTGGTAGTGGCAGTAACCTTACTGAACTGAATGGTGTGATTTTTGCTATTAAACTTTCAAGTCTGTTTTTCAAGCCCTGTTCTCACCATCTTCCTGTAGTCTTCAAACAACCCAATGTTCTTAAAAAAAAAAAAAAAAATCAACTACTCAACTGGCATTGTTTTGTTTACAACCGGGAATTCTGACTATCCCTCATCTATCATGATTCCTAATTGGTAGCCATCTCTCTCGTTTTCTTTCGTGTCTCTTGAAATCCATTGTCCACTTGGCAGTGTCTTAAAAGACAAATTATATCACATCCTTTGCTTTAAAATCCTTGAATGGCTTCCTCGTATTTAGATATAAATCTATTTAGTAGTCTGCAAGGACCTTCGTTATCTAGCCCACCTCCCAACCCTCCACCTCTCTCTCCAGCCTCATCTTGGAACTTTCTTTCCCTTTGACTACTGGGAGCAGGAGCTTTCTTGACTTTAGTAACCTGGAGTAGGACCTCCAGCAAGAAGCCATTTGGGGAAGAGAAGAGAAAAGGAGAGACAAGATGGAGATAAAACTTGGGATTGGGCACCTGCCTGGATTTTATTTCCCAGGCTTGGAACCAATTCCCTAATCCTTTATTTTGTTTACTGCATGCTTGTAATTTTGATAGTTTGTTTAAAAACATTCTTTAAAATGTAGGCAATTTAAATTTTTTTCAAACCTGATGCCCTGAAGCTGTAAAGGCCTACAGTCTCCTTGATTACTTTATGTTTAAATTGATTTATTTTCTCAATGTAATAAATATATTTTCATTAAAGTTAAGAATCTACCAGATTTATAAGACAAATACTGTATTTCTTCTCTTCCCCCCTCCCAAAAAAGATGTTCTCTCAATATAAAGAGGATTACATTACAACCTGGATATAATTCTCTGCATCAGTGGAAATGTGTTATTTGAATGAAACAGTTATCAAATGAAGCAATGTTGTCAAACCACTGGCATCTTACAACCAATGTTGGAGGTAGGATCCAGGGGGCCCAGTAGTTGGCCTCAACTCACACCATCCTCTTACCAGGTTCTTGACTCTGCCACAAGAAAGAATTCAGAAGTGGAGTCACAATAGAAAATGAGAACAGATTTAATATAATGAATAAGAGGTACAGATTTCACAGAGTGCAGCATAGCTCCAGAGACTGAGCAAGGGCCCACATTAAATTTAATACAAAAGTAAGAAATACATATTTCAAGTTCAGTACAGAGTGCAGGCTGGCTCAAGAGAATGAGCAGCTGCTTGCTGAAAGAAATACACACTCCACAGGCAGAGTGCAGGCCGGCTCCAGGAGAGTGAGCAACAGCCCTGCCTTCTGCCGAGATTCACCTTATAAAACTATGAAGTTTCACCATCTAATGAATATTCAATTAAGGGGGTGGTTCCCAGGTAAAACATTAGCCTTGCACATGCTCAGTAGTCTCTTCTTGGGTCATGTTCATTGGTCAAATCCTCTCACATGTACCAGACATTCAAGAATATTCTGTGCTCTCTAGCACCTCTAGTAGAAGGTCATTCAACTACCAGGGTTATAAAATCCTCTGCTGAGCATGCCCAGCCAGTGGATTTGCATAAGTCAGCCCCTTATGGTCTCATTTTCCCTGGGTTCTGAAAATAGGTCTAACTGGCAACAATAGCTTTCTTCTAGGCAAGGGCCCAAAGGAGGGGCCTGAGACCATGTGGAGTGGCTTGAAACTCAAAGGTGTGTCCTGAAATGCAAGCACAGGGAAACACAGCACCTCCTGTATCACAACCAACAGTTCATTTGAGTAAAAGAAAAAGATTTGAGCTGCTTAAGTGATTGCTTGCACTTCTTTTTCTCCACATGTTGTTTATTGTATAATTTACATTTACACAAAAAAATTGCCTAAATTTCTAAATCTCCATATAAAAAAATCATCCAGTGTGTAACTTTTGTGTCTTGCTGCTTTCACACAATATGTTTCTGTGGTTTGCTTTTACGGTTATATGTGTTTTCTCCTTAATGCCTAATATTCCATTGTGTGACTATATCCTGGTGTCTTTATGCATTCTCTTGCTGATGAAGACCTGGACATTTACAGTTTTTAGGTATTACAAATAGAACTCTATAAGCTTTTTTTTTGGCAGCTAACCAATAGGGGGAACCGAACTCGACCTTGGTGTTACAAGGCCACACTCTGACCAACTGAGCTAACCCACCCGCTATAAACATTCTTATACAGGTCTTTTTGTGGACATATGTTTTCATTTCTCTTGAATAATTACCTAGGAGTAGAATTGCCTAGGAGTAAGTAGTATGTTTAACTT